CTTAGTCACTGGGGACCAAAATTTCCAAACTCTTTCACATCAAATAGATGCAGAAATTGCCCATCTAGAAAATTCCCTCACCAAATTAGCTAAACAAGTAGACTCCTTAGCTAAAAGGGTATTGCAAAATAAAAAGGGGTTAGACTTGTTCTTGAGGGAAGGAGGGCTAGATGCGGCTCTCGGTGAGCGATGTTGCTTCTATGCAAATAATTCTGGAATTATCTAAGACAGTCTTGCTATGATTCGAAAAAACTTAGAAATAAGAAAACACCTCAGAGAGGCCTCAGGAAATTAGTACCAAAAACTGTTCTCTTGGTCCCCTTAGCTGACATCCCTGCTCACTGGGTTAGCAGGATCCTTGATGTTAGTGGTCCTAAGATTAACATTTACACCATGCCTTTTAAACATGCTCTGCAAATTTATCCAGGAAAGACTAGATTCGGTAAAATAGTTCTAAAATCCAACTATGGGCCTCTGTGTCAAAAAGAGGACACCTATTAAAGATTTAATTTATGCTATAAGAACAGGGGGGAATGTGATATAGCTGGCCTAGAATTAGAACCAGCACAATGCCATTTTAAAATGGGAAAACTGTTTCCATTCTCCTCACAATGACTGCTAGCCATGGCTTCTGGAAACTACTAAGATGACCTTGCAAAATGTAAAGAGAGGACAAGCTGCACACTTTCTCTTATCTGTAACTGCCAGAATTGCTGGCCTTTGTTTACCAAAGTAAGCACCCCCAGATAATTCCATCCTGGTGCCAAGTAACCTAAAATTATGTGGACCCCACACTTGTCCAAATAATGTATAAACTAATGTTTATCTTGACCTCTGTAAACCACTTAGGTGGCAATAGGAATGACAAAAGTCCCCTGGGCCTTGGAATATCTGGAGCCCCCTCACCCTCCTCTCAGCCTAGGAGGTGATTGACAGCTTTCACTCCCATCTCCGTTCCTCAACCCCACTCCCAAGGTGGTTTTGTAGGTATAAAAAATTCTTGTCACTCTTCTTTCTCTGCCACGGGTTGGAGAGACGTGAGTCCTCCGTGGTCGCCGGCAATAAACCCTGTAATTTGGCATACTTTTGTTCTGGTGTTGACTTTCTGTGCTAAGTTCAATGCAACATTTATATGTAACTGTTCATCTAATCTGTGTATATAACCAAACATTATACATGTAACATACATGCTGTACATACCAGTACTACACATATCACATGATATATAATGAACTCCCGATAAAATGAACACACACGTCTCATCTGAATAGAGTAAATGCTTTTCAAGTATGTTTTCTTTCATTTCTCATTTTCTTTTCTGACACACAGGCAGCTTTAATTTTTAGTTTGCTAAGTCAACCTTCAGAATGCCTGCCTCTGAGGTGGTTCTTAGGAAGGCCGTTGTCAACATACATATACCTGTAAAACAAACATTTGTGTTTCCCCTGCGACTTTTCTCGCTTGCATATGTAAAAGTTTCAACCTGTGTTCCATCAGGCACTCATGTCTGATATAAAATTTCATGAGTTTTCTTCCAAGAGGAGGCATTTTTCATTAATAACTCCTTTCCTATTCATATCTGTGAACATTATCAATCCTTACATATATCACTTCACTGTTTCGAGACTTCCTATTCTGTTCCGTACATTTATCTGTATTTTCAGCTGTTAGTAAACAATTACAGAAATTAATAGCACATTTTGACATCTAGAGAAGCCAGTCCTTTTTCGGTCCATTATAAAATTACTTAAAACGTCATCACAATAGTAAAAGACAGCAGGTGTTGCGCGAAATTGTTTCATTCGCTTTATGTAAAACTGACACACGCAGAAAGAGTTCACGTTTTGAGAAAAATGTGTGTTCTCATTCAAGAACACAAACCCACCTCCCACTTCCAAGTTTTCCTCCAAGACCCTTCAGCAAAGAACCCAGCAGTTTTATCTGAGAAATGTTCGCCTACTGAAAATGACCCGGCACGTTTGAGAGGGGAATGAGTTCTCTCAGGAGGGACCTCCCGTGATGTATAAAACACCAAATAACAACGCGGTGTATGCCTAACTTGGTTCAACCGCTCACCTTCTCCACCAGGTGCTCCAGCCGGGGAATTAGGAGGGATGAAGCAGCTGAGGCTCATTTGGCTGCGCTGCTCCGAGGGTGCCCGGCGCCCTCCAAGGCCCCGTTTCGGGGCGAAGCCGGGCCTCGGCAACCCCCCAACCCGGGCTGAGCCCCGCTACCTGCGCGGCTTGTCCCGGGCGTCCAGGTCTCCGCTCCTGCGCTCCAGGCAGCTCCTCCTCCCCCGGCGTCGCCCCGGACAGCCGCCCTGTGGATCCTCCGCGGTTCCTCGTCCCGGAAGCGGTGTAGACGGGGTCCATGGAGCCCAGGACCTGAGGTTCTGCTCTGCCTCGGGCCCTGGCTCCGAAGCCGAGGAGCTTCTACAAGGTGGTGACTTCTCAGATCCCCAACAGTCAGCTCCTGAGCCGCGGCTCCTCCCACGCCCACCTGCGCCAACCCCCACCTGCGATCCCAAACCCGCTTTCTAGCCCAGAACCCGCGAGCCAGCCGGGGCCTCTACAGCCTTCAGCCTCTCAGACCCAGCGAGCCCCGCAAAGCCGTTCCGCGCGCCTGCGCCACGGTGGCCGCCCGACTCCCGGAAGCCGCTCGCAGGTGCGCCCAGGCAGGTGGGGCTGCAGCTCCGGGTTCTCCTGGGCTCGCCCGGGCTGCCGGAGGACCACAGGTGCAGGATCTCAGGCGCGCATCTTCTTCTTTTTTTTTTTTTTGAAACGGAGTTTCGCTCTTGTTACCCAGGCTGGAGTGCAATGGCGCAATCTCGGCTCACCGCAACCTCCACCTCCTGGTTTCAGGCAATTCTCCTGCCTCAGCCTCCCGAGTAGCTGGGATTACAGGCACGGGTCACCACGCCCAGCTAAGTTTTTGTATTTTTAGTAGAGACGGGGTTTCGCCATGTTGACCAAGATGGTCTCGATCTCTTGACCTCGTGATCCACCCGCCTCGGCCTCCCAAAGTGCTGGGGTTACAGGCGTGAGCCACCGCGCTCGGCCCTCAGGCGCGCATCTTCTATCACAAACATGAGTTCCTGATGGAACATTATCAGTCCTTACACGTATCTCATCTAAGGGAGGAGGGGGAGGCCTCTCGGACCCTGTGGCCGCCCCACTCCTCAAAGGGAGATCGGGTCTGGCATGGGCACTGGAGCGGCTTCGCGGATGGCCTGGCTTCAGCGCTGAAACTCTGGCCCCGGGGTCTGTCTGGCAGGTGTCACAGAGCGGGAGGTGTATGGAAAGTCAGGGGTTGCTCCTCCCCCACCGGCCCCCACTGCTGCCCATGCCGGACGTGCAGTTTGAGGGTGCAGTGCTGGTACTGGTGTGGTATGGTGGAGCTTCCCTTGGGTGGCATCAGGGTCGCCGAGGGCACAGTCCACCTGGCCTGAGGGTCCGCTCCTCTTGAACACGTCTCCGGATCCTGGGCCCCTGCTCTGGACATTCTGCATCCGCACCGATGAGACTGAGTGGCTGCAGGCGGCCGGCCACCTGACTTTTCGGCCTGGGTGCCCCAACTTGGGATTCCTGCTGCTAGGAGTGAGGGCCCGGTCTGGGGTGTCTAGCCACTTGCTGCTCCCATGCCACATCTAGGCTGCAGGGGTGATCCGGGTGCCAGCGGTGGATGCGGGGGCCTGGTACCTGATGTCCTCAGGGTCAAGTGCATCGCCCGCCCACCTGAGGGTCTGCTCTGCCTTGGCCTCCTCCAAGAGTGCAGCGGCCACCAGGTGGCAATTTAGGAATGCTTAAATTGAAGGAAATATTCTTTCTCTATCTTTTAGAAGTAAGTGGTGATTTTGTTTTGTGTTTGATAGCTATAGCACAAAACAAAGGTGATGCAGGGGTGAAGGACCACAGCCGGTTCCTCTGTCAATTACCTCCAGACATAAACGTTATTTCTTAATAATTAAATATCCAAACTACTTTTAATAGTCTACCATCTCTGAAATCCCGAATTATTCGTTTTTTCTTTGTTTATAAAACCATTGCTATAATAAAATAAAAATCACAAAACTCACATTTCATTGGGTTTAAAAAAACTTAAAACATATTATACATAAAAGATGATGAGATGTATTTGTTTCATCATAAAAATTATGGGTTTGCAAGACTTTTTATGTTTAGCTACATTCCTAGGATTCCTTAACTTTGACCCCTCAAATCTTATGTCCTCGCATTTCAAAACCAATCATACCTTCCCAACAGTCCCACAAGTCTTATTTCCACATTAACTCAAAAGTTCACAGTCCATAGTCTCATTTGTGAAAAGGCAAGTCCCTTCCACCTATGAAGCTGTAATGTGAAAAGCAAGCTAGTTACTTCCTAGATACAATGGGGATACAGGCATTGGGAAAACACAGGTGTTCCAAATGTGAGAAATAAGGGGGTTACAGGTCCCATTCAAGATAGAAATCCAATAGGGCATTCAAATTATAAAGTTCTAAAACAACCTCCTAATACAAGACTCCAGGTCTCATATTCCTAACCCTAACCCTAACCCTAACTCTAGCCCTAACCCATAACTCCTAACTTTAAGACTAACCACGAACCCTAACCCTAACCCTGCCCTAAACCCTAACCCTAACCCTACCCCTAACCCTACCCTAACACTGACCATAACGCTGACCCTCTAACCCTAACCCTAACCCCTAACCTTAAACATAGCCCTAGCCCTAATCCTAATGCAAAGCCTTGTGGTAGGCCTAACTCTAACACTAACTCTAGCCCTAATCCTAACCCTAACCCCTAACCCTAACCCTAACCCTCACACTAACCCTAACCCTAAACACTAAGCCCAACCCTAACACCTACCCCTAAACCAACCAACCCTACCCCAAACCCTAATCCTAACTTTAACCCCAACCCTATTTCTAAACCTAACCCTAACCCTAAAATCCTAACTTACCCTAATCACTGCCCTAAACCCAAACCCTAATTCCTACTTTAAACTGTAAACCTGAATGCTAACCCTTAATCCTAATCACTAATCCTAACCTTTAATCCTAATCCCTAATCCTAACCTTACTCCGATTAAATCTAATGTAAGCTTAACCCTCAATCATGAACCCTAATGTTACTTTTACCTACTCTAATTCTTACCTTAAGCTAAACCTACTCTAACCTGTATATAACCCCAATCCAAAATCTTACTAAAACTTTCACCCTAACCCTTCACTGTAATTCTGACCTGTCAACCTAACCCTATTAGCCTAATCTCTCCTTCTAATCTCTACTATGGAGCTCTCAACCTGAACCTCCTATCTCGGAGCCCTTAAACCATAATCTTTTTTTATGTTTTTTGAGATGGAGTTTCACTCTTGTTACACAGGCTGGAGTGCAATGGCGTGATCTCAGCTCACTGCAACCTTCCACATCCTGGGTTCAGGCAATTCTCCTGCCTCAGCCTCCTGAGTAGCTGGGATTACAGGTGTGCGCCACCATGCCCAGCTAATTTTTTGTATTTTAAGTAGAGACGGGGTTTCACCATGTTGACCAGGATAGTCTCGATCTCTTGACCTTGTGATCCACCTGCCTTGGCTTCCCAAAGTGCTGGGATTACAGGCGTGAGCCACTGTGCCCGGCCCCAGCCATAATCTTTAACTGGTAAACTCTTAGCCTGTAAAGCCCTATGTCCTGATTGTGTAATACCCTTACACACTAACTCTGTAAATAGTAACCGCCATCTCTACCCAATCCCACCCTGATCCATCCTACACAGTGTCATGCCATTTCAAGGACTGAAATCTACGATCTATAACCTCAGAAGTGCAGACTTAGAAATCCTCAACAAAATAATAGTAAATTTAAACCAACAGCATTTGGAAAGGATCAAACACCATGAACATGATTTCTTTATCCTAGAAGAGCAACTCTGGTTCCACACACTAACTCCATCAATGTAACACACTGTATTATTAGAATGAATGGAAAGCACTCCGTAATTCTTTCAACTGATGCAGAAAGGGCTGCCGACAAAGTTCAATATCATGTCAGGATAAAGAACTCTCACAAACCTAGAAACGATAAAAAACACTCACAAACCTAGAAACGATAAAAAACACTCAGAAACCTAGAAACGATAAAAAACACTCAGAAACCTAGAAACGATAAAAAACACTCAGAAACCTAGAAACGATAAAAAACACTCAGAAACCTAGAAACGATAAAAAACACTCAGAAACCTAGAAACGATAAAAACACTCAGAAACCTAGAAACGATAAAAAACACTCACAAACCTAGAAACGATAAAAAACACTCACAAACCTAGAAACGATAAAAAACACTCACAAACCTAGAAACGATAAAAAACACTCACAAACCTAGAAACGATAAAAAACACTCACAAACCTAGAAACGATAAAAAACACTCAGAAACCTAGAAACGATAAAAACACTCACAAACCTAGAAACGATAAAAAACACTCAGAAACCTAGAAACGATAAAAAACACTCACAAACCTAGAAACGATAAAAAACATTCACAAACCTAGAAACGATAAAAAACACTCAGAAACCTAGAAACGATAAAAAACACTCACAAACCTAGAAACGATAAAAAAACACTCAGAAACCTAGAAACGATAAAAAATACTCACAAACCTAGAAACGATAAAAAATACTCACAAACCTAGAAACAGGATGTTTCTTAAACATGATAAAAAGCAATTTTGTAAAACCAACAGTAAACATACTCAATTGTCATCACTGAAAGTTTTATTCCTAATAGAATAACAAGGCACAGACACCCACGTGCACTCTTGTATTCAACAGTATTGGAAGATACAGGTAGGGCAATTATGCAAGAAAATAAAATAACAACTATTCAAGGGTCAATTCTCACCTGATCTCATACATGGACATTCCTAAGGAATGTTCAAAAAACTATTAGAAATAGTAACCAAATGGGGAAAACGTACAAGCACAATACCAACACAAAAATCCATTTTATTATTATTAGTAGTAGTAGTAATTATTATATAGTAATTATTATTATCATTATCATTACTATTTCTTTTTGAGATGGAGTTTTACTCTTCTCACCCAGGCTGGAGTACAAAGGCATGTTCTTGGCTCATTAAAGCCTCCATCTCCCAGTTTCGAGCAATTGTCCTGCTTCAGGCTCCTGAGTAGCTGGAATTACAGGCATGCACCACCACACCAAGATAATTTTTGTATTTATAGTAGGAAATGGGTTTTGTCATGTTGCCCAGGCTGGTCTCATACTCCTGACCACAGGTGGTCTGCCTGCCTTGGCTTCCCAAAGTGCTGGGATTACAGGTGTGAGCCATGGTGCCTGGCAGAAAAATCCATTTTATATGTATACACTAGCAGTGAATAATCTGAAAAGGAAATTATAAAAATTTCACTTTAAATAAAACCAATAACAATAATAAGGAATAAATGTAATCAAAGGGCAAGACTTAGATGGGAAAAAATATAAAACATTGCTTAAGGAAATGAAAGCTGAAATAAATGTAAAAACATGTTACATTCATGGATTTGAAGACAGTATTTGTCAAGTTTGCCAAACGGCACAAAGCAAACTTCTAATTCAATGTTATTCCTACAAAAATCCCAAAGGCCATGGGACAGACATGGGAAAGCCAATCCCAACATTCATATGGAATTTTAATTCACCCTCAACAGCCAACCAATCTAGAAAAATAACTCCAGATTTGGAGGTTTGCACAGCCCAATTTCAAATTTTATTACAAAGCAACAGTAATCAAAACAGCATCATACTGGCACAAGAATAAACAGAAAGCTCAATAGAATTGGATTGGGAGTCCAGAGAGAAAATAGTACCTCTATGCTCAAAGGATTTTACACAAGATCCACAACCATTAAACTGGGGAAAGAATGCTGCCCTCAACAAGTGATGTAAGGCAAGCTGCTATCCACATAAAGGGACATGAAATTGTATCCCTACCTCATGGATCAAACACCTAAAGATGGGAAAACTAAAAACTCTAGAAGAAAACACACAGTTAAACCTTCCTGATCTTGGATATAGCGATGGTTTCTCAGATCTGACACCAAAAGCACAAACCACAAAAGGAAAAATAGGTAAAATGATTTCCTCAAAATTAAAAACTTTTATGCCTCAGAAGACACGATGAAAAAAGTTGAAAGACAAAATTGTTAGAAAAGGAGAAACAACTATCTTCTACCACACGCTCAACACTCAACACAGAACACTTCTGTTACCAGATGGGCTTTTTCCCCACACAGACCAAATCCTGGGTACCAGCCGGGTGTCCCACGGTGCAATTCGATCCTGACACCACCAGGAGAAAGCATCAGACCCAGAGGCTAAGGGCTCAGTCCGAGGAAAACAGGTCACGCAGCTTGTGGCTTGCAACACACAAGAGCATGGTAAACATGAGGATGATAATTTTAAAAGTGACTTTATAAAAGAGCTTAGCTAAAGGAATGTACAGGCTCCTGACTTAAGGGAACAGAATCCACTTTCAGGGCAGAAAGCAGGAGCTCTGAAAGGGGGACTTGGCAGGGGCATGCGGGGGATGGGGTGGGGAGGGGCAGGGTCGATGGGACTTGCTCTGATGTTTTCTCCACTGGGTGGTCTTGTTAGCACCACCATGGGCAGAACCAGGTTGTAAATGGACTGCTGGATCCTGGCAACCTCCAGGCAGGGGAGAGTTCTGGGGGTGCCTAGTTTGTTTCAAGTTTCAGTCTCTGGAACTTACAAGTAAACACACAGTTTAAAAAGCTTGCAGTGTAGGCAGTGTCTGCTGCAGGCAGTAAAGCTTATCATTGCAGTCCTAAAAAGCTAAGGAGGAAGTGTGGGAAAAGGAAGGAGGTAAAATAATACGTTATCTTCTTTAAGAAAGTAAGGTGCTCAGTTACAGGACTGTAACCATGTGAGATGCCAGCCGCAAACAGTAGGGTCCCAGGTTAACTTCTGTGGACTTGGCTACAGGTCGGAGGCTCCCACAACACCCTTATTAAGTTCAGCAATTTGCTACAGCACATTACGGAACACAGGAAAACAGTCTACTTACTACTGCTGACTTATTACTCAGGGTATTTTAAAGGCTACAAATGAACAGCCAGATGAAGAGATGCACAAGGTGAGGTGTGTGGAAAAGGTGAAGCCTCCCATGCCCTCTTCAGATATGACCCTCCCAGCATCTCCCCCATGATCAGCAACACGACACTCTCCCAACCCTGTCCTTCATTACACAGGCGGATTGGTTACATCACAGGCCACCGGTGATCAACTCAAACATCAGCACCTCTCCCCTTCACAGAGATGGGAGGGAGGCTGAAATTTCAAATCCTCTAATGACAAGGTTGGTTTCTTTGGCAACCAGCCCCATTGAGGCTGTCCAGGTGCCCCCAGCCATCAGTCATCTCATTAGCATACAGAGACATATCACCTCATACCTTACAAAGGCTTAGCGCTCTGTCTCAGGACACTGGGGCAGAGACCAGACATAAACTCTTATTATGTTCTAGTAACCCAAAGAATGCAAGAAAAAATCTGCACAGTAGACACTTCATAGGTGTCTGTTATCCAGAATATATAAATAACTTTTACAATTCAACAACAGAGACAATCCAATCTAAAAACTAATGAAGCATTTTAATACACACTTCACCAGCAAGCACTTGAGAGATGCTCAGCATCATTAGTGATAATTAAAACCAGAAAGAGATACCCCTTAACTCACACTAGAAGAGTTACACTAAAAACAAACAAGTGTTGACAAAGATGTGCAGAAACTTGAACTACTAAACACGGCTGTGACAATATGAAACGGTGCAGCGTGTGTCAAATGATTTGGAGTTTCTTCAAATGATTACAAATAGATTTACCGTATGCCTCAGTGATTCCATTCCTAGGTACATACCCCAAAGACCTGAAACCCGGTGTTCAAACAAAAACTTGTATGCTCTTTAAATGTGTCAAGATCATAAATGTGCAGGAAAGTCTTGGGAACAGTGTCAGGAAACTGGATCAGAATGAAAGACACATTATACTCGTAGGTGGGGCAGGAGGTAAAAGTGAAATGAGCTTGTGAACTGATTATCACGTAGGAACTGTGCTGATTTCCTGATCTAGGGGTTATGTGGTGCTTACCTGGAGAGTGTCCGTGATTTGGGTAAAATATGCCGGAGTATTTTGTGGGCTGCCGCAAATCTGGTACAGCAATAACTGCCGGGACTCTAAGAAAAGAAACAGGTTATATTTCGCACTGCTACTGGAAGCTTCCTAGAAGTATGACATTATTAAAAAGTAAATTACTTTTTAAAACAACCATATGCCAGAAAAGCAGAGACATCACCAAAATCCACTATAGAGGGTACACTTCATTCAAAGCTGTGAACGCTTATAAAAGCCTAAATGTCAGCAGACTCCACTTAGTAGATATTATTATATTTATTAGTATTAGAGGCTACTGTGCGGATACATTAGTGTTATGGCACAGTGTAGATATTAGTGTTAGGGCATGGTGTACATATTATATTGGTGATGGAGAACAGTGCAGATATCACATTAGCATTAGGGCACCGTGTGGATATTTTTACATTGGTATTGGAAACAACGGTGTGGACGTCAGCCTAGCGTTAGGGCATGGTGTACATATTATATTGGTGATGGAGAACAGTGCAGATATCACATTAGCATTAGGGCACCGTGTGGATAATGTTACATTGGTATTGGAAACAATGGTGTGGACGTCAGCCTAGCATTAGGGTATGGTGTGGATATTACATTGGTGATGGAGAACAGTGCAGATATCACATTAGCATTAGGGCACCGTGTGGATATTTTTACATTGGTATTGGAAACAACGGTGTGGATGTCAGCCTAGCGTTAGGGTATGGTGTGGATATTATATTGGTGATGGAGAACAGTGCAGATATCACATTAGCATTAGGGCACCATGTGGATATTATTACATTGGTATTGGAAACAACGGTGTGGACGTCAGCCTAGCGTTAGGGTATGGTGTGGATATTACATTGGTGATGGAGAACAGTGCAGATATCACATTAGCATTAGGGCACCGTGTGGATAATGTTACATTGGTATTGGAAACAATGGTGTGGACGTCAGCCTAGCATTAGGGTATGGTGTGGATATTACATTGATGATGGAGAACAGTGCAGATATCACATTAGCATTAGGGCACCGTGTGGATATTTTTACATTGGTATTGGAAACAACGGTGTGGATGTCAGCCTAGCGTTAGGGTATGGTGTGGATATTATATTGGTGATGGAGAACAGGGCAGATATCACATTAGCATTAGGGCACCATGTGGATATTATTACATTGGTATTGGAAACAACGGTGTGGACGTCAGCCCAGCGTTAGGGTATGGTGTGGATATTACATTGGTGATGGAGAACAGTGCAGATATCACATTAGCATTAGGGCACCGTGTGGATAATATTACATTGGTATTAGAAGCAACGGTGTGGATTCAGCCTAGCGTTAGGGTATGGTGTGGATATTATATTGGTGATGGAGAACAGTGCAGATATGACATTAGCATTAGGGCACCGTGTGGATATTATTACATTGGTATTGGAAACAATGGTGTGGACGTCAGCCTAGCGTTAGGGTATGGTGTGGATATTACATTGGTGATGGAGAACAGTGCAGATATCACATTAGCATTAGGGCACCGTGTGGATAATATTACATTGGTATTGGAAACAACGGTGTGGACGTCAGCCTAGCGTTAGGGTATGGTGTGGATATTACATTGGTGATGGAGAACAGTGCAGATATCACATTAGCATTAGGGCACTATGTGGATATTATTACATTGGTATTAGAAGCAACGGTGTGGACGTCAGCCTAGCATTAGGGTATGGTGTGGATATTACATTGGTGTTAGGGCACAGTATGGACATCATAGTAATGTCAAGCGCACGGTGTGATTATTATATTAAAGGCCACTGTGAGAACACATCTCAGCAGCCACTGTGTCTGGGATGTTGACAATGACATCAGGGTGTAGTCGTAACGATGGGATTTGAGGATTTCATTTTTCTAGATGAATTTCTTCCTTTGCTGAGTACTCTAAAGACTCTCTTCTCTGCACTCAGGGCCATGGAAAGGAAGCTCTTTACTCACCAGTGAACAACACCAAGCTGACATGACCCTCGTGCTGCCCTCAGGAAGTCTAAGCTCCTGGCTGCTTCTGGTACCTCGGAGGGAAGTTGGTCAGGGGTGGGTTCGCGCGCCCTCTGGTGGTACCAGAGCTCAGCACAGACGCTCTTGCTCAGTTTCTCAGCGGACCTGCGCCTGCGCCTTGCTGTCCTGAAATACCTATAAAATTAAATATTCAGTTTATTCGATGTAATAATTTTGGAAATTAAAACCAAAATGAAGCCAACTGTAGCCATATCCTTCCCAAACATGGTAATGGGAGACTTTGGAAGCCATGCAGAATGAAATGAATATATACAGAAAATAGGAAAAACAAAAACCTACTCAAAATAGTCCAGAGACTGTAATTTGAAATGCAAAACTATAAAAAACTAAAAGAAAATTTATATGACATTGGATTTGTTGTTGCCGTTTAACACACAACTTTATAAAACGATTCTACTGTGAAAAACTGTATTCAGAGAACAAAAAGACAAGACAGACGTGGGAAGATATTTACAAAATACATACATGATTTTAAAACTGGGTAAATATCTGAACAGATACTCAACCACAGCAAGTATACCGAGAGTAGGCTGGGCATGGTGGATGCCCATCTCTACTAATCATACAAAAATTACCCAGGCATGGTGGTGCATGCCTGAAATCTCAGCTACTAGGGAAGCTGAGGCAAGACAATCGCTTGAACCCGGGAGGTGGAGGGTGTGGTGGGCCAAGATCACGCCATTGCTTTGCCCTACCCTATATGTAAAAATGCAGATTCACTGATCCAGACTTAATTGTATTCAGTGGAAGGCTGATCAAGGATTCAAAAGAATGCGACCTTTTGTTTTATCTGCTTCTGACCTAGAAGCATCCCCACACCTTACTTCTAGTTGTTCCACCCGACTGAACCAAAAGACTGTACATCTTATGCATATTGATTGGTGTCTCCTGTCTCCCTAAAATGTACAGAAGCAAGCTCTATCCTGACCACCTTGGACCCGTGTTGTCGGGACCTCCTGAGGCTGTATCATGGGCATGTCCTTAACCTTGGCAAAATAAGCTTTCTAAATTGACTGAGACCTGACTCATATTTTGGGATCACAATCCACAGTCACCATGGTGTGACAGTTGACTACAGCATTCAGTACAGAGACGTGCCATACACGTTTGTAGCATGGGAGCAACAGGCTATACCATATAACTTATGTGTGGAGTGGGCTACACCGGCTAGGTTTTATAAGGACACTCTACGGTGTTCGCACAAGGATGAAATCACTACGGACAAATTTCTCAGAAAGTATCCACGTCGTTAGGAGATACTTGAGTGTATTTTAAATGGTTAAAGCCTAGAAGGAAAAACAGAAACTCAACTCCTGTTGTGGTTTAATAACAAAGCCTAATGGAGTTAACATACTTCATCTCATCTAAGATGCCAATGATTAACAGACATTATTTTATGCGCCATCACATATAGGGTGCCACTTACACCGACTTTCTGAATAAGAAAAATGTGAACTTACTTCTATTAACGCCAGTAAAGTAAAATGAAAATGGATTATGGTTTTGACATGTTCAAGCAAAACAGGAGGAAGCTGTTAGCCTGAGGTCCTCCCTAAGCAAAGGGAAACTGAGCTCGGAGGTGTGTAAACCGACCTCAAAACATCAGCAAACCAACCAGTCAATGACAAAGAGCCCAGCCGCCAGCTGGATGTATGGCTAGGGACACTGAGGGAACCATTCCCACAACAGGGATTTGCCCAGCTGGAGCCAAGGACCATCCTCACTTAGCTGCCACCACTAAGAGCTCGAAGCCCCAAGCCCTGTTTTAGGTTCTGGTGCTTCAGGCGTGATTCATGAATCATTCCTTTGCTCAAATAAACTGTTTAAATTTATTTGGCCTAAAATTCTCCTAACCCCTAAATCCTAACGCCTAACCAGTAACCCCCAACTCTAACCCTAACCCCTAATCCTCACCCTAAGCTCTAACCATACGCTAGTTTCTACTGATACGTCAGTGTTGATGATTCAAACTGCTGGACCGCGGGCCGCGCGGGTCTGACAGTCACACTGGACTGAGCCGGGCAGCAGCATCACAGGTGTTTCATCACGAGCACTGCGGGTGCTGTGTTCCGAGTTCGAATGTCATCTGCCTCGGGAACGCTGTTTATGCTCCGAGGCTGCGGTGCGGACCTCACACTGCGGCCTCCTGGCCTCGGGTCGGGAGAACCTCGGCGCGCAGGATTCAGAGGGGCTTTTGCTGTCCGGGTTTCCACCCCGAGACCTTCTCACCAGTCTCCGACCCTCAGCAGTCGGGCTGCAAACAGGCAGGATTTCACTCACCGTGGACGCGGCCCGGAGTTGTCCCAAAGCGAGGCGGTGCCCACTAGGTCGATGCCGTGGAGAACGCATCTCTGCCCTCGCAGCGCCCCCCAGGTCTGTACCGAGGAGAATGCAACTCTGCAGACCACTGTGATGCCACACAGGGCGGCTCTGGCACAATGCACATTGGCAGTGGCGCCTCAGGAACCCGGAAAGGTGGGCTTCGGCGCCCCCTCCTGGCAGTAGGGCACTGCAGGGCCCTCTTGCTCACAGTGTAGTGGCAACATGCCCCCTGCTGGCAACTAGGGCAATGCAGGGCCCTCGTGCTCACGGTGTGGTGCCTGTGCTGCTGGACACTCTTACTGGCTGTGCAGTGGTAGCACGCCCCCTGCTGGCCGCTGGGGGCACTGCAAGACACTGACTAGTAGTTTCACGGCAGAGCCCCCATGCTGGCAAGCAGAGAACTGTAGGGTCCTCTTCCTCATGGTGTGGTGACCACGTGCCCCCTGTTGGCTTCTCAGGGCACTGTAGGGCCCTCTGGCTCACAGTGTACTGGGGGCACACCCCTGCTGGCTGCTTGGCGCACTGTAGGGTCCTGTTGCTCGCAGTGTGTCTGCAGCACGCCCCCTGCTGGCAGCTGGGGGCAGTGCAGAACCCTCTTGCTCAGTGTTGTGGGAGCACACGCCCTGCTGACAGCCCCCAGTGTGATGGCTGGTGCCCCTACTGGCCTCCTTCTGCACCACTTAAAGTCAAAGCACCAGTTATTCAGCACCCACAGTTCTGGAAATAGGAACTGAAATGGAGCCATTACTGGAAAGAGCTGATGTCCCAGTTCTTGTCTAACTTGGAAGGTTTTCACCAAGAGGCAGTACAAAGATGGCAGATAACTTCATTGAAAATAAATACAGTGTAAAGAGCTTATTGTAGAAAAAATAGGTAGGCCCCAAGGGAGGAGCAGACTGATCCTGCAGGAAAAGAGCCCAAGAGTCCTGGGCAGGGAATTTTATTTTGTACTCTACATTCCCGCCTCTGTCTCAAGAGGAGAAAGAAACCCTAGAACTCCTCTTAGAATGTCTCCACGTCTTTTCTTTGTCTGGTTTTTCTGCTCCTACCTTAGGTCCCCGACTTGCCCCTCTTTGGCTTGTGGGACCTCCTCACTGTTGGTTAAGGCACATGTGTGGAGATCAATCCAAATCCACTGTTGGGGCTGGCTTCTTCCTGCCTCCCAGGAAGGCCCTACATGGTCACGTCTGTACCTCCTGTGCTTGTCAATCTCTTTTGAATGTCCTTCTCTGCCCTAATCTGTGCTTATGGTGCCAGGTTTCTCTTAAGAATTTCCCCCTTTGTCCTTCTTATCAGCATGTAGCTAGCAATTTTCTCACATTTTACCTGTAGAGTGAATGATGACTGGGGCACCCTAAGAGTTCTAGGGTGTTTCTTTCTGCATGGGTACCCTTCTTCCTCCTACCCACAACTGACAAGGGCCCATCCACTCCAGCATTAGAGATGCTACTAATATATAGATTTTTCATGGTCCCTCCAGGTGAGCCTTCCCATCATGTTCGCATCTAGCTATCTAGCTATTCTAACAGAGCCCACTATCCTGTGTCTTTCCCAAAAGTAGGGAAGGAGCGATTCATTGGAAACCATAGGGAATGAAATGAATGTAGATGAAAACTTTACAAATTACACAAATGATCACTCAAAATCATCCTTACACTAAAAATGCAAAACTATACAATTTCTGGAAGGAAACAGAAAAGCGATGTGCCCTTGGGTTTGGTAATGGATTTTAACAAACAACACGAAGTGTCAATACACACGGAACAAAGAATTAAGTGGATTTTTAAAAATACTTAAAGTGTATACTCTGGAAAATACCTTGTTAAGAGAATGAAAACACAAGCCACATATTGAAAGAAACTATTTGCAAAATGCAGATCTGAGAAAGAATTTATATTCAATCCACAAAAAAATCTTAAAATGAAGTAAAACAGCCCAAATAAAGATGCACACAAATCTGAACAGACACCTTGCCAAAGGATTTAGGAGAAACCAGCCCTTTCAAAAGACTTCACCACTGATACCAACCAACTGCCTGAGGCTGCCTCTCCTTTCTTGCCTGATAAGAGACCACCCATGACAGAGAGGGTCTGAGCAGTATACAGAGGATGCACAGAGCAAGTTTTCATGTCCTCTGCTTCACTTTTTAATGTCAGAGGGCTGAAAACTTCACCCTGGGATCATGCTAACACTGCCATTATTTGAACATTGGGACCCATGAAGGAGCAAGAAACTCAACTGCGAATGCACGCATTTCTCCTTTCATAAATATTCATGACTCCTCCCAGAGCTTACTAAATATGTGTATTTGGCCGTGCCACTCAGCATAAATTACTGTTTCCTTTGCCTCTCCCTTGAAGTGTCTGCTTCTGGCTTCTGGCTGGAATCTATGCATCCCAGCCTGTTAGAAGGACTACCCTGCAGGCTGCAACCCTTTATAGGAAATAAATCTCTCACTGGGTGCAGTGGCTCATGTCTGTAATCCCAGGTATTTGGGAAGCCAAGGTGGGTGAATCACCTGAGTTCAGGAGTTTGAGACCAGCCTGGCCAACATGGTGAAACCCTGTCTATACAAAAAATTAGCCAGGCATGGCGGTGGACATCTGGAATCCCAGCTAATTGAAAGGCTGAGGCAGGAGAACTGCTTGAACTCAGGAGGTGGAGGTTGCAGTAAGCCAAGATCACACCATTGTACTCCAGCCTGGGCAACAAGAGTGAAACACCTTCTCAAAATAGAAATAAATAAATAAATAAATAAATATCTCCTTTCCAAATTTATGAACCTTGTCATT